CACTCGCATTGTTTTTTGCGTACCTCATTAGCGCAGAAGGGTAGAAGGAATTTAAGAAAGTGAAGCTAACTTCACCAGGCACCAAAGATTGGCTTGCTGTGAAGTGTCTGATAGCATTATTGCTGCAGTTATAGAGGAACGGAGTGGTGTATACTCTACATTAGTTGTCATGCTCCCACTTTTACGATGCATTAGGCAGTCATCGTGTCAAATGGATCTATTTCACGACAAATGCACTGCGGTTTGGCCACATGCATATGTCAACGAAATTAAGGCTTTGATGAATGGAGTTCGTATTGCTTTGATGAATTCGTTCGAGAAGCGTTTTGAGAAGTTGATTTCTCAGTTACTGTGGGTGATGTTGTTGGATCCGGTTCTGACTGAGATTGAAATATTTAGCGAGGAGGAAAAATGTAGCCAAAACGCGCGTTTTAGATGCGGCAGTTGAAGTTGCCGCTGATTATGTTTCGGTGGTTTTGCCAACACGTGTTTCTATTCCGAGCACCCCGGTTGTGCGTAACAAAAAAGATGAAATCGGATATTAGAGCAAATGTACTTGGAAAACGAGTGACTGAGCAAACCCCTCACCTCGTTTACCCTAGCAGAATATTCGCTTAAAATGTCAAGTAGAGATGGAAAACTACTTCACTACTGCAGCCGTAAGTGATGATGACGATCTGTTACGGTGGTGGAAGAGGAAGGCGCCAACTTTTCCGGTCATTACCGTCGTAGCTAGAAATGGCTAAGTTATGTGGCAGCATCCGTACCTTCTGAACTGGCATTTTCTACAGCAGGCAATATTGTGGCTACAAAACGCAGCTCACTGCACCCGGATGTTGTCCGCGACTTGATTTTTATTCATGAAAACTACGTCGAAGAAAGACAGAGAAAATCCTAAATCAATAAATTTGTTTTTACAAAACAATCGAAACATATCATCTATATTATAAATTCTTTGTCTGTGTGTGTAGTCACGCTGAGGGGCACATGTGATTGACTGGTAAATTTGATAAAAATCAGTAAAGGTATGGTACCGCGAACAAAAGACGTCGAAGTGTGTGCCCACTCATTCCATACAAACATGTGTACCACACTAACATTCAATCGTAATATTCTAAAAGGTCTAAAAAGACGCTAAAAAGGTAATAAAATGGTCTAATTAGGGCAGGCATTCTTAAAATTATTAAGTTTTCGCGAGTGGCGGTATGAAGAGAAGTTGTCGCTGAGGATTTTACTATATAGAAGGTGAAACTAAACGTAGATGAAAGTTCGCCAGCTACGAAACTCCGTTTTTAACCTCTTAGACTAAAAAACGATATGAGTTGAACGAGACAGAATAGCATTGTGACCCTTGCATTGTTATTGTGCTATTGCTCCATATAGGCACAACTGCATGTCAAGAACCATAAATCAGGACCCTTAAAACATAGTCGACCGTAGGATAAGAGGTTAACCCCCACGCATACATGTACGTGCAGCTTCATTTAGTAGGATAGTTTATAGTAAAGTGAGCTCAGCTCTATTTTTCAGTACTATATCATGGACAATGTATGTGCGTGCACACAAGTCTACCAATAGTAAATTTAAATGTAATTATTAATTTACTATCCATTACTGATTTACTATCCATTGATACGGTATAGCTACCGATAACCTTGTTTAAATCTGTCCTCCACAAAAGACCAAACCGCTGTTTGGTATAATTTACACAACGCATTTTTGTCCTAGCAACTTTTTTCGTAGGACAAATTTTATTTTACTAGAAGTTTGTTTGACACGGGGTTTACCTCTAAATTACTATCTGAAGTGTCAACACTGACACGCTTAATCTGCTGAGGATATAGCCCATACTTCGATCACTCCAAATAGATAGTTTTTTCTACAAGCTAAGACAAAGCCAAAAACTGGTATGTTTAGTGACACATTTGAAGCTGCTATACTATCATCATAGACGCCGTATGACAACACAATTCCTTTCCGTTATGGAACTAGGAAATATCTGTATTCTGCCCATACCCACAAATTTCGTAAATATCAACATTGTTGACAAGGCAGCCCAGTAGAAGTTGGTACTACATTTTGTCCTATAAGCAGGCTATGTGGGGCTAATAGCAGCAGCCAGTAATACAGTTTGTAGTGGGCCTAGGGCTCACTAGTTAGCTTACACGTGTAGGAGAAAGCATATGAGCTAGATAGCTTAAAATGAGAACTGTATTGCTCTTTCAGGAGGTTTCTTCTCTAAACTGCTTATCAAATATCTAAAGGAGACTGTCAGGTGATGGCTGAGAGTGATTCGCATCGCTGATTGGTAGAGGTGTGGCGCACTCTACCAATAGGACCCCTTCAAATGCAGGCTTGGTGTGCGAACACACCAAGACGGGAAACCTCTAACTCTAACCGATTAGCATTACGGTTAGAGTTTCGTGTAACCTCGTTACAACACCCCTCGTTAAGATTTGACGTGCTGGTCACAACACGTCAATCCAAGCCTTGGCGAGACCGTCAAGTTTCCGAGAGAATTCGCGCTCATTGCGGAATGCAAACATCAGCGTCCTCGGCAGTGTCCGCGTCCTCCTCAGTGTCGACGCCTCCGTCTGATCCCGCGTCCGCACCGACCTCCGCCTCGTAGCCTGCTTCCGCGCCTGTGTCGGCGGCAACGCCGACACCCCTAAGTGATACGACAGATAACAACTTCTATGTGGACAAGTACTTCCAGCTCCAGGAGAAGAAGCTCGAGCTCGAGGCAAAGAAGCGCGCTGGGCAGCGAAGACAGCCAGTCCGAAGACTGTCTTCTATGATTCGTCGATCCTCTCGACCGACGGAGGTATCTCCGTGGACAACGAGGATGGGGAGCTTGAAGACGAGGGTACCTCTTTGTCCCAGTCATGTATCTTCAAGCCTGTGACTTGGACTCGCCGCGCCCGTGAAGATGAAGCGCCCGCGGAGCGTTAGAGATGCAGTGCCTTCCACATTGGAAACACCTACCATCGCCTCGGATCCGCCAGCTATTACGCCGGATCCGCCAGCGATTACGCCCGATCCGCCTGTTGTTCCGTCGGAGCAACGTGAAGCCCAGTGCACTGGCGATTCAGTGGATGGCGTCTGAGAGTGTTATCACAACACGGTACGGGTGCACGGTTCCTCCAAACTTGATACCGTTGTACGTCGACAGCAGAATTGTCGTCGACGCTGAAGCTGCGTCAAAGCACTTTGAGCCGATGACGAATCAAAGGTGAGATTATCATAACTCGCTTTTCCACGAGGTCCGGTACTGGAGCTCGAAGAAGACTTCGGGGCGAAGCAGGGTGCTCGAGTGACAGGCACTCTGTCAAAGCTGGAATCAATTTGTAGAAAAGTTCAACGAAGCCTCGACAGCTTATCATGATCGAGTCGCTTCAGCTCGCGAGCGCTTCGTGAAGTACACCGTTACTTTTGTCGTTCAACGCGTTCACGATGAACGCGAGTATTCCTCGCACAGTACCAGAGGACATTCATTGTTCGGACTGCTCTTCTGGTGCTCCCCGCATCAGCAAGAGATAACTTACCGGGTACACGACTAACCGTGTACCTGCAATCATTAAGGATCTGCGTTCTTGTGTAAACGCGTCAGCGACCTAGTGTTGTGCCTGAGCACAACACTCCGCGAAACACTGCGCCCCGCAGTGTTACGCCTACAGTCCATGGTGGACATCGTACGCCCTCACCATTTCCGAAACGTCCGTCATCAGGACGTTTCGGGAAACCACGTATCTCGAAGGTGACCCTATTGTCTCCAGCGAATACGAAAACGAACCGGACCTCTGTTCGTCTTCGGACTGGTATGGTCTACAATCCGATCCACCTAGCAGTGGATCGTACCGCGAAAAGAGTAATGCTTCTGTCGGCGGTGTTGGACGCTCATCATATACGCTCGCGTGGAGGCTCTTGAGAGCGTTCAGGCAGCTCCGATCGCGAAGCTGAAGAAGCAGCTGAGCTTGCAGAAGGCCTACGTGACCGAAGCTGCTCAGATCATCTCAAACATCCGTGTTGAGATGTCGGAACAAGTTCGCCTTTTTCGGGAGAAGGTGAAAACGCTTGACGAGAAGCTGAAGTCGCGCCGCGCGTTGCCTGTGGCGAGGTATCACGGCTAGATGACTCGGGCTGCACGTAGGGATTCGAGCGCCCAACGTAGAAGGTTGGGTGGAGTCTCATGTCGGAAGGTAGTTCCAACGTGTATGCAGTGCCATGTCGTTCAGCTACCATGAACGGGGCGATGAAGCGCGGAGCTAGCTTGCTTGCTCCGAATCCGGAAACTGCATGTGTACGCAAGTTTTGAGCAGCTAACAAAACCAATAAACCAACTTTGAATTCATTTGTGTTGCCCATGCCCACAATGTCTGCGTTAAACTTCTGCCTATCCACAAAGGCTGCAATTGCATCTTATACAAGCCTAACGATAGCTTGTCGTTCCTGGACAAAGTCCGTTACTTGAGAGGTGAACCCCGGGTCCAGCTCACTGACGATGTCCGCGTCTGTGCCCTGCCCAGACCCACCACTTCTGTTTGCATCAGTCCCAGACTGTGCGTGAGGCTTCTCAGTATCGATGCCAGTCATCAATACATCACTTACCTGTACAACCGGCCTGTGCATGAGTCTACGCTGTTTCTGCGCCCGCCCAGAGACGTTGTCCTTGGACGAAGTAGGTTTCGCCCGCTCGTTGCTCTTCACAGTGTCGGTGCCCGGCACTAACACGTCGCCTTGTCGTATGCGGGCCCTCGCTCTCGCACGTATTATCGCAGCTGATAGATGCGTATCAGCTGTATTCTGCGGTTGTGCGAGCGCAACCATATATCTTCTCCTACATAAGGAGAAAGCCACCGCCCCGAGCGTGCTCAGAAGGAGTGGATGCTGCATGGTGTTCACGAATAACGGTGTATGCCCAGGTGAGGCATGCACCGCGTTGTTGATGGTGAACTCAGTCATCGGAAAGTAATCGCTCCAGTCGTTCACAACTGGAGTGATTACTCGAGCAAATCCACGAGCATGCGGTTCACGCGTTCGGTTTGCCTGTCCGTCTGCGGATGATACCCAGTCGACATTGAGAACTGTGTTTCAAGAAGTGGAAACACTTCTTGCCACAAACGCGCCGTGAAGCGCGGATAGCGGTCTGGCACAAAGTCGCTGGGCATGTCATTGTGCTTGAACACCATGACGACGAACAGACGTGCCGTCTGTATGGAGGTCACCTCTGCTACGACTGCAACGAGATGCACCATCTTGCTGATGCGGTCAACAAAGACTACAATACCTTCCGCCTGGAATCGCGCGGAAGGCCAAACACGAAGTCCATCGAAACGGCCTCCCAACGCCCCGACGGAGTCGGTAGTGGTTGCAGTGGATCCCGCGAGTGATGTGCAGGTTTCACTCGCTAGCAAATATCGCAAGTACGTACGTTCTTGCGCACCCACTTGTAGTGGTGGTTGCAGTAGAAGCCTTTCGCGAGAAGAGAATACGTCTTCTCACATCCCGGATGTCCTACCTTGGGAGCATCATGATACTTGTACATGATCCTGCTGCACAGTTCAGAAAATTCGGCACGACAACGTGGTCCGCATTGGCGTCTACAGCGCTGTAAAACAGTAGACCGTCGTGCACACGATACCGCTCGAAGACGAGGGGCCAACTTCCTACGTGCTCGGAAGGAGCCGAGAGAAACTCGATCAGCTGTTTTGCGTCTGCGTCATGCGCATACGCGGCATTCACCTCGTCCAACAAGGACGACGACAGTGTATATATCCGAGCGACGCTAATCCGGTTGACGTCGACTGTCTTGGCAGCACAATCCGGTCGTCGCGACAACGCGTCCGCGACGATATTCAACCTTCCGGATTTGTACTCGACCCGGAAGTTGTACTCCGTGAAGAAGAACAACCAACTCGCCATTCGTTGCGAGATGTGCAGAGGCTTCACAGCCGTCCGTAACGACGCGTGGTCCGTATAGACCGCGAACAGCGTGTTGCCGAGTAAGTACACTCGGAACTTCGCGAGTGCGTACTTCATTGCAAGAAGTTTCTTGCCATGTACCGGATAGTTTTGTTCAGCTGGCTTTAGTGACGCGATTAGTAGTAGACGACTCGTGATCGAGTTGCATTACCTCACATCTGATCGCAAAATCGGATGCGTCACACACTACGTCAAAGGGACGATCCTGACCAGCTACAGCCAAGATCGTCGCTTCAGTCAAGCCCAGCTTGACTGCATTGAACGCCTGCAGACACTCAGCTATCCACTACCACGCAACTTCATTTTTCAGAAGCTGCGATAGCGGGCGAATCGTGCCTGCGTAGTTGTCCACGGAGTTGCACAAGTACGTGGTAAGGCCAAGAAACCGCCGCAGGTCCTTCACGTTGGATGGCGTAGGCCATTCATTGATCACTCGGACCTTCTCATGGTCAGGGAGTACACCATTCTTTCCAACAAGACACTCCAGCATGGGTATCTCGCTCGCACCGAAGATGCACTTCTTCAGGTTCGCATAGAGCTTGTGCTTGCTATGCAGTTCCCGGGGACACTCCTTGTGCATCTCAATGTCCGTCTTCTCGTTCACAGCCCGGCTGTGAACGTACACATCGTCGAAGTAGCTCGGTGTGAAATCGCGCACCGACCGCAATAGAGGCATCACGCATCTATTGAAGGTCACATGGGTGTTCTTCAGTCCTTGCGGCATAACTAGCCACTCCCAAAGCATACCGCTTGGAGTGCTTACCGCCGTGAGAGGGATATCACTCACACATATTGATCTGATAGAACCCGTCTCTCAGATCAAGAACACAGTAGATGGTGCTCTTGGACATCGAATCAATGATGACATCTTTTCGAGGTATCGGCATCTGTGCCGGTATCGTAGCATCGTTCAGCTTATTGTACGCATGAACAATGCGCCAACCACCCTGTGGCTTCTTGACACAGAACGTTAGTGCGCTGTGCGGGGGCCGACTTTGATTCCCGCACTTAGCCTGCCTTGCGACGGCTTTCAAAGAAGTCGTCGATCGTCTTCGCTCTATCCCGCGGCAATGGCCACTGCCTCGTTACGCAATACTTCGTCTCGTCACGAAATCAATCTCGTGCTGTATTCCCATGTCCTTCAGAAGTTCTGCAGGGATCTTATTCGGGAGCACATCTCTGTGCTCTCGCAGAATCTCGTAATATGGACTCGACTTCAGTGGGCCTAACCCTCCTCCTCGAAGCGTTCCTTCTTCGTCTTGGCACTGAGGGTATCATCACTCTCAGCGGCGCTTCCGGGGAAGAGTTAACTCAACTCAGTGGTTCGCTTGTCATTCTTTCGCGGTCGGAAGGAATGCATAGCTGTTCGATGCGTCCATCATACAGGTCTTTTGTGAAGCGCTTCCAGCTCATGACTGAAAGCGAGGTCAACTACGACGTGTCGGTCGGAGGGTTCTCCAACTCCATCTTCTTGTACTGATACCTAGCACAAGCTCGCGGCGAGACGTTCACCGTCTCGACGGCCACTGTCGGCTCTTGTGTCTGTCTGGCAGGCATGCCTTGAAGAGTCTCGATCCCGGCCCGAGTCTTGCTCAGCGGGTTGTGCTTGCGCCGTCGCTTCTTCTTGTGAATTGGGTCACTACACACGTGCGTGTACGACACCAGTACACTCAAGCCAAGCCTGCGCAAATTACGCGCTTCTCAGTCTTCACGATGGCACCCGTTGCCAATCGTACTTTTAACTGACTTCCAGGCACATGTTTCTTCTCGAAGGCCAACAACGTTAGACATTGCTGTCAACCAAAGTTGTTCAACGCGCCCGAGTCCACCAACACCCGAAGAGAGTCCGCTCTCTTCGTCATCGACTTTACCTTCAAGATGACAAGATTTGGCATGTCATCTTGTACTTCATAGTGATATTCCCTCTCATTAGGGGCTGCAGTCCTCAATACCGCGTGTCCGTTGTAGACACGCGTGACTGCATTACCAGTAGGACAACCCTTGCCTACTGATCCCTTGCGTTTTTTGTTCGACTGTGACGATACCCAGTATCGTCACGTCGACCTTGGCTTGCGTGTCCTGGTGCCGTACCCTCACGTGCTTAGTGACCCATGTTTCCGCATCGGAAGCATCGTACGTAGCTTCCCCTTTTCTACTGCTGTCCGACAGCTGATGAATACGAAAGCTCCATTGGTTCAGGACCTTCTGTCTTAACAACAGGCCGAGGCTGGAGTGGCACGTTCGCGTGCTGTTTAGCCTGTATCAGGCTAAACCCCTCTTGCATGGCGAGGGTAATCGCATCTTCGTGAGTACTCGGGTACTCTCGGAAGAGATATGTTTTCACAGGTCCATCCCTCAATCACTTCACGAACGTGACGATCTTTGTCGCCTCATCCATCGGGTCGGTCACGACGTTCGAGACCAAGTACCGAGCCCGTTGGGCGTAAGCATGTACATTTTGCTTACCCTGCTACAGGTCGAGAAACTCCGCTCTCGACCGGAACGAGTTCTGTGGAGGCTCAAACGCGAGTTTGAGCTCCTCCTTGACGGATTCGTACGTGCTGAAGCACGTAGAACCAGTGAGTCGGTGCCCGTAGGCCCAACCCCTCGCGCGTCCGCCAAGACAAGACATGAATAATGCGACTTTCTCCAATGGGTCGACGAGACGGAGAGCCATTACGACAGTGTCAAGTTCGACAAGCCAGCGGAGAAGGGTCTCGCCTTCTCTGCCCATGTAGATACAGACACGTAACTTGAGGTTTTCCTTCCGTGGTGTCTCCCCCGGAGACACTGGCTTCGCTGTAGCAAATTCGTGTTGTTCTCTTATGATGAACCCCTGCGTAACACCATGTTGCTCTGTCGGCGATAGCGTGCGCAGCATTGTCCCTACGGCCACCTCTCCAATGATTGTTGGTAGTCGTTGGAGCGCCTCCCACTCTGGGTCCGCCAGATGGGGGCAGTCTGTACGTGCCACATGCGTAGCAGACGTGCTCGGGCTTCTAACAAACGGCCCATCCATCGGGATATTCTCTTCCCTGTGTTCGTAACTCATCCGACCAAGGGAGTTGGTCGTTGGACGGACTATAAAGTGGTACCCAGGTGTAGTGGACCTAGTGCTCACTAGTTAGCTTACACGTGTGCACACGTGTAGGAGGACGCATAGGTGTTTCTAGCTTGCATAGCATACACACGAGGCGTGTGTACGGTAGGACAAGATAGGATCTAGATAGCTTAAAATAAGAATTGTATTGTGTTTTAAGGAGGTTCCTCTCTAAACAGTTTATCAAATATCTAAGGGACTGTCAGCGGATGGCTGAGAGTAATTCGCATCGCTGATTGGTAGAGGTGTGGGCACTCTACCAATAGGACCCCTTCAAATGCAGTCTTGGTGTGCGAATACACCAAGACGGGAAACCTCTAACTCTAACCGATTAGCGTTACGGTCAGAGTTTCGCGTAAACCCGTAACACACTTTCCCAACTCGCTTGTACATAATATACTTTTAAAATACTTACTAGTAATAGTAGTCTATCATCCGCGAAAAGGTTAGTGACGTAACACTTCTCTTACGTGTACATATTAACTGAAACCAAATGTACTAAAGCGTAACAACTTTATGTAAAGTTGTACATGACTATAAAATGGATTCGTAGACAGAACCCAGACAAAAGTCAGACATTCAAATTCAATAGTTTACGTTGGAAACCCTATCAAAAATAGCGCTGGTCCGGGTGCGCATGCACTACGAACAAATACATGGTGTTGTCTTCAGTTACCTGACAGTGAATTAATTCAACACAGCACCAGGTAGTTGGGTAGAGTGTCGTAGCGATAATC